ATATATAGATAATTTATCATATTATAAAGCATGATATTATTTCATAACTTTATATATCACATTTATATAAATATATAAATAATAATATTTATACATATTTTATTATATTAAATATCATATATTTTTCTAACATACTTGCGCCAAATCCTACCCAACGTGCATAAGGAATGACACTACGATCCCAATGTGAAATGACCAGTAATATTATAGTTGCCGTTATCAAAATGCAACCTACAAATATGCAGACTAGTGCCATCAACCATTCTGATTGCAGATCTGACTTGTAACAAACTTGTGGTCTGTTATACAAGGTCATGCATGACCACATGAGACCCAGTCTTGTATCACCTGTTAACAAAAAAGAAATAAAAATGATATCTGAATGATGTATACAGGTTCTCACATAACATGTAACATTTTGATTACGAATAAATATAAAAACAGGCAAATAAAAGTCACGTATTGGGAGGAAGGCGCCAAATTATGTAACTCTTCATAAATTAAGTTACATTTATTAATTAGACATTTCGGGCCCATTCTCAGTAATTTGAAACAATATATTCAATAATGATACATTTAATTAATAAATGTAATTTGATTTATGAAGAATTTCATAATTTGACGCCTTTCTCTCAATGTGTGACTTTTATTTGCCCGTTTTTATATTTATTGATATTTATTATTCAGAGCCTTATATACTAAATTATTTTGATTGTGTTATTCTGATTCACACAAATTAAAATATCTCGAAACAATTATATATTCTATCATAAAATAGATATCAAAGTCGTATCTTATTAACGTAAAAATAATGATACTAGAAATATATCTCTCATGATAAAAAGAGATAAATTTTTTACTTGTTGAAAATAAAAACAAAGTCGCATGTCTGCAATTACCGCCGACATCGGTGATGATCCAATCCGGCATGGCAATGCTAATTATGGCAGAAATGTCCGCCAGCAAAAACAATATCCCCGAGATGATAGTCAACTTGTCCATTTTTGCGTTCAAGATAGTTGACAGTCAGGAAGAATTGACACTTTGTTCGAAGCACGTTTACCTGCCACCATATTTACAAGCGTTATGACATTCTGAGGTCAATTACTTCGTGCAATATAAGCGTCCTTCAATGATTGAGGAAATCGAATTATTCGTGCGCGAAGATACACAAGTATCATTCTTTACGAACTGTCAACCTCCCGTTATATGTAGACAAAAAAATCAAAAACAAACAAAAGTAAACAAGTGAGCATATATCGCACGGACATGCAGCATCAGTGCGCTTACTAATCGAGGCAATTGCGCTCGAGTAGGGAGTAGGGATGAGCGATACTCGATCAATTAATCAAGCAATCGTTTATCTTTCGAATGTGTTTGCAAACGATTATATCTTTATATATGTCTTTCTTTTACTAAATTCTTTATTTATTAAGATTTTCCTAAATATAAAAAGTAGGAACACAAAATCTGAAAAATAAAAAAAATAGAAATTGTTATACATTAATCTAGACATATGATATTGTATAAAATTATAAAAGAAAAATATATTGATCAGAAATAATCAATAAATAAAAAAAAATTTGATCAGATATAATCAATAAATAAAAAAGACATTGATCAAACGTAATAAATATTTATTCATTGTAAATTATATACAAAAGTCAACATAATTTTAAAATACGATTATAGAAGGAGAAATCTAATGCAGGAAAGAAAATGTACACAGTATTTATAATTTAATACTTCATACCACTGTAATAAATGTTGATAAAGATGTTAAAAATTATGGACAAGATTTACAAAATTTTTTTGTTAGTATGATATAATCTTTCTTTCTTTTTATAAAAAAAAAACTTTATATTATTTATATACTAATTAGAAGTATAATACAGAATTCCATTATACAATGGTGAAAACAATATCAAATATTGATACAAATATGTATTTTAAAAAAACACTATCACAGTTAGAGTGTATTAGAATATACAGAATAATTCCGACGTTTAAATTTCTTGCAATTTGGTTCGGTTTGTACACACTGTCCATTACCTGTAACAAAACATATTTAGCAACATTATCTCGAAATTATTCTCTTTCAATATTCTCTATTCTCTTGAGTGTTTAACCAACAACATTACTCACCATCCTTCATCGAAGCTGAATCTACAGACATAGAAATATTAACATTATCATCATCCAAGGCGCTTTTACTCGTGTCCACGAAACCCGAATTATGATATTCATCATCGTTACCGCTTTTTGGAAACAAATTCGTCGGTGAGCCGTCGACAAAATATTTATTCGTCGAATTTTCCTGAAAGGTAGAACTAAGTATGCTATCCTCCTCAAATGAAATCTCCATCGATTCCGACATGTATTCGCCGGACGTCTCCATCGACATCTCGCTCGATTTGTTATTATCCTTTGGAATAATGCTCGCAATGATCTGCAATAAGGCGGACGGATCGTCGATGCCTAGCATTTGACAAAATTGAGTAGTCTGATCGTTTATCAGCAATCGTGGCTGCTCAATTCGCATGTATGTATCATGCGGATCGTATGGTTTGACGGTTTGAGTGAAGTTGTGAGGAATTTGTAAATTGGAGTTAAATTTCTTGTACACAGTTTGTTTCTCTTTCGTAGTGGGCGTGTATGTCCACCTGCCGACGCCGTACTGACCGGGCATGTAGTGAATATTGCTCTTGACACTCAATAAATGATTCGTTAAGTATAGTATCGTTAACCATTCGAGATCGTAATCCAATTGTATTAGACCATCCTCCTGTGAACGTACTTCCAATACTTGAAGAAATTTTCGTTTTGGTAGACATTTATCCAGCGCTAGGAATTTCGTTACTCGTGCCCCTCCCTTCTCGGGAATGAGCGCCGCGAATTTACAATGTAAATGCGCGGAGAACCAGTAAGATGGATAAAGACGTTCCAACAATTCCATACCTGGAGGACTACCAAGTGTATTGCTTTCTATATCATCTCTAAAACATATAATCTAATATAATGATTGAATATTATATCCCTTAACATAATGTATTAAAATTTATCTATTATATCAATTTAATAAAATTTTAAGAGCCAACATTCATAAAGTTTTCATAAAATAGAAGTTTCTTACTTAAAAAATGGTTTTCGTTTTAATAATGCGTCTTCATCTCCATATTTTGTTACACCTGCTGGCCAGTCATGTGACAGAAAAATATCAATTTTGCCAGAGAGCTGAAAATAATATAGAAAAAAATCATATATATATCTTGTTGAAAATTTCCTTATTTTATCTAAAATTATATAGTTAATTATTTATATAAATCTATCAATTTTTTACAGTTCATGTAATTTTATCAATCTCTCTCTGTATTATAATCAATATTTACCTGTTTTAATCTAAAGACTTCCAAATTCCTGATATGATATATACTTCGTATAGTGCTGTCAGTATACGGAGGCTTTTCATAATGCCCTTGCATCCAATGTTGGCTCTTATAGATACCTGAAAGTCCTGCAATTCTAACTCCAGCCACTTGTACTACACCTGCATATCCAAGATAATAAATATTAGGCGCAACCCATCCTCCATATGGCAATTCCTGAAGATAATTTGATGCTTCGTGATTACCGCCAATGAAAATGGTTAACACTGGAGCTTTTTTCTCACCCGAATAATATCTATAAGATTAAATGTATAATTTATATTAAACATAAATTGTAAATTTTATATTGAATTTTCAACAAATCTCTTTGCTGAGATAATAGTACTTACTTGTAAAATGTACATATATCTTTATATTTGTCCGAAACTGCCATACATTCTAAATCGCTTAAATTTCTGGTAGCTTGAAAATCGCCGCAGCAAATAAGGAGATCTATCTTCCTCCCATCTATTTTTTCAATCTCCTGTATAGTTTCATAAATAATATCTAATTCGCCATGAGCACAACCTTCCACGGCGATCCTCATTATTAAAATTAAATTGAATTAAGGGTCGACACGACACCACGACAGGAGTAACGGGCAAACTCCGAATTGACATTGGAGACCTCGCGCGGTGAAAATGTGAAACTCAGGTTTCAGGGTTACCAACGCTGAGGAATTAATTCTCAGTCTCGATGTATAGGTGTATTTCTGTATACGTACACAAACGATTGCATTGCTCGCGTGGACGCACCGTGGAGAGGAAAGATAGAAAAGGATCAACGATCACGCTATCCTTGTTCCTCTAGCGTATCGCTTTACGGCCGAGACATGGCCTGAAAATGCTTTCTGGTCTCTCGTAGCAGAAAGCAGTAATGCAACAAGACTAATGGGCGCCCATATATTTAGAATAATTATTAAAATTTTGAAAATATGTTGACCATTTTGTAATTGTACATGTGTATAAAAAATTTATTTTATGTATTTAATATATCTTGTAATAAACCAATAATAGCTAGGAGAGAAAAGCTATTATTATTTTATTTAATTATTATTAAATATATTACATATATTAATATTAACATATTTTCAAAATTTTCAAATTTTGTTTTCAATATAATTCTCAAAACATAAAATGTAATAACAAAACACATATAAAAATTTTTTTGAGATATCTATGGAATTGAACTCGGAGTGTACTGCATGATAGACTGAATATTTTGCACTTCGTCATTACATGTATTACTTATATATATGCTTTCATATACCAGTACTCATATGTGTTTACGCGATATCGGTATAATTGGAGAAAGATAATATAATTGTCTATGAATATATAATATAATTGTCTACCCGTAAAGCGATACGCTAGAGGAACAAGGATAGCATGCGATTGTCACTCCTTGTCTGGCATTATCTCCCAACAATCGCTTCCGTGTGCTCAACATATCGGTTTGCTTTTCCTTAGAACATATATAAATGGAAGGGGAATAGCAGGCTGAAAAGTGTCGAAGGAAGTGAGAAAGAAATCGTAGTTGCCTCTCTCTTGTGAGTTACTTTGCTCAAAAGTGCGCATGCGCGGCCATGTGTGTTTAATACACACACATGGCTGCGCATGCGCACTTTTGAGCAAAGTAACTCACAAGAGAGAGGCAACTACGATTTCTTTCTCACTTCCTTCGACACTTTTCAGATTGCTATTCCCCTTCCATTTATATATGTTCTAAGTAATTTTTATTTTGATCATTTTTTCAAAAAAACGCTCTGTACGTCTAAGAAGACGATGCTGCTAAATACGAATATCATCATTAGGGTATCGATTCTATAATTTAAGTAAGAGTAAAAATTACAAAAATGAGCAAATTTTCTAGGTTTATATATTTTTTAGTAAATTCCATCATTTTTGTAATTTTCACCTTCACTTGAATTACAGAATCGATACCTAGAATCCGATTTTCTCTTTATTTTGGCTGTAGGACGTAGACTACGAATTCGTAATTCACGGCTTCCCGCGAGAGGTCTCTACTGTCTCTCCTGTCGACCCTTAAGTTCTAAAGTCAAAATCTCTATAATTTGAGAGTTAATGTCATATACGTTCTCTTTATGCGGGGTCTACAATGCAGTCGTAAGAGCCCTAATGCCCGTATCAGACTACGCATTGAAGATTGAGATTGAAGATTGAAGATTGAAATTTGACCATTAAAGTTTAACACTAGGATTACAATGCTTTTGTTCATAATGCCATTATGAACAAAAGCATTGTAATCCTAGTGTTAAACTTTAACGGTTCCGGCATAAATTAACAGTTACGGCCTGCATGAATCAGCCTTGAGTCGTATGTCGTTAGTCGTAAGAAAAGTGACCAATTACAGTCGAATATTCTTGGAATAATCGACTGTCGTTGGTCAATTTGCTAACGACTAACGACATACGACTTATTGTAGAACGGGCCTAAGCCTTAAGAATTGATTAATCACAGTCGAGTATTCTCTTCATACTCGACTGTGATTAGTCAATTCTTAAGGCTTAGGGCTCTTACGACTGCATTGTAGACCCCGCATTAAACGTATGTACGGATATCTGATCATCGGATCTATAATCTATAATCCTTGTAAACAATTGTCGTTTAGCGTTGACATAAAACTTGTTGACCAATCACGATCAAGTATGAGGAGAATACTCGACTGTGATTAGTCGATTCCTTAAGGCTTAGGGCTTAAATCACCTATTGTAGACCGGCACTAATACGGACTTTACGTCTTAAGTCTCAGGCCGGATTCACACCTTGGCAGAAAAGCAGAAAGCAGAAAAGCAGGGGCCAACCAGAACTCGCGCTAAAAAAGCAGAATGTACTGCTTATTTTCAGCGCGAGTTCTGATTGGCTTCTGCTTTTCTAGCACGAGTTCTGATTGGCTTCCGCTTTTCTGCTTTCTGCTTTTCTGCCAAGGTGTCAATCCGGCCTTAGGGTGCGAACCCATGGCATCGGAAAAGCGTAAAGCCCAAATCACACTAACGGCTCGCGGCTGCGATTGCGATTGCGTTTGTGATTGTGATTTGCTACGCTCCAATCATACTTGCAATTGGTGCTTTCTGATTGGCTGAGGCAATCGCAATCGCAGCCGCAAGCCGCTAATGTGATTCGGGCTTAACGCGGAACAAGAGCGGACCAATCGTGAGCGTAGCGAAACCTGCAGAACGCTCGCAATTGGTCATGCTCTCGTTCCGCATTACGCTATTCCGCTCATGGGTTTGCACCCTTACTGCTTAAGTTTTTTTATGTGCCCTAAGGGCCACCGCACAAGCTCTTCCGTATAGCCCATTCTACATTGATCGCATGTTGCCAGTCGCAAGCAAATCGACCAATCACAGTCGTATATTCGACGGAATAATCGACTGTGATTGGTCGATATGCTTGCGACTGGCGACATGCGATCAATGTAGAACGAGCTTAATGCCCGTATCAGATTACGCATTGAAGATTGAGATTGAAGATTGAAGATTGAAATTTGACCAATCAGAATAAAGAAATTTTATGTCTATGGTTGGATGGATCATTGTAATTTTTCGTTGATTTAAGTTTAAAATTTTTGTATTGATTTTTATAAAAAATCGCATATTGTAGCACTAATTAATAAATTTGACAAGGAAAATGCATTGCCAGGGCAATAAAAATTTTTACATTTTACTGATAAAACCATAATAATCATTTGATGATTTAAATCTTACTTACTTAAAAATTATTTACTAAAAATTGTAGCAAAATACTTTTACCTAACCTAAAATCTGTTTTTATTTTTTTTATTTTTTAAAATTAATTTTGTGGGGTATTCATGACCAAAAATTTTTGTCATAAATTATGAAAAATATTAATTACAACTATGATGACGTTAAAAATCATATCATTTTGTGATATTTCGATTCTTTTTCT